GTACGGTGTGGTTTTCCGGTAAGTTTCTTTGTATTCTGCCTTATGGAGCTACACACAGTTAGGACTTTCATCCAAATGGAACAAAAACCCACAGCATTTCCCAAAGTGTTGCTGTTTCTTCCAGCGCTGTTCCCCCAGTATCACAGAATATGATGGAGTAGTTAGGCTGACCCAGGTGGGACTCACCCTACCTTCTTTTGAAAATGAATAGGAGTTTTTAAAAAGCTACTGAAATGAAGTGTTGTGTGTCATCAGGGAATATTGCATAGGGCTTTCTGGTTTCTTACCATGCACTTTATTTTGCTTGGCTACTTTTAATTCTTGTCCCCCCCTCCTGCCCACCGCCACGTCTTCTCTTTGAAAATCCGACATTGTCCAAACCCTTTCGATTAAGAAGCTTGGCTGAATGGAAGCACCCGCACTGCTGTGGTGGAGCATCAATAAGCAGGAGCCCTGAGAAGCTGGGCAGCGTGCGGAGAAATAGGGTTGATCAGTGGTAATTACCCTGACACCTCAAGCAGCACAGGGAATTAACTCCTAGGACTTTGGGCCGAATGAAGAAGAAGTTGATGTTTCACGTTGTCAATGCATCAGTGCCTGAACCCATTACCAGTTTAAACAGAGATGGGAATTTACTATACACTTTTTTTTTTTTTTAAGTTGGGAATGTAGATGGTGTGCAGAAAATGAGAAAGGAAGTCAGGATGCTGAAGCAACAGCGGTGTGTGTGTGTGTGTGTGTGTGTGCGTGTGCGTGTGTGTGTATTAAGGCTTCTACCTTCTGATTCTATATCATATCCATAATGTGTACATAAATAAAAGAGCAGGTCCATGGCAACCATTGTCTTGAAAAGAAGGAGCTCATTGTCTTAAAGGAAGGGTTAGCAGGTCACCGAAGTAGGTGAAGGTCTTCCGTGACAGACCTATAGAAAGGAAAGTGCTTGAAAACGCAGAGCAGGAGGGGAGGCACAGCTCAAAAGGCAACTAGTTAGCAGCTGCCACTATGACCTTTAGCTGCATCCATGGTAACTGGGCTAAAGATGGAGTTCCATTTTATTATTCTCACACCCACAATGTTAAGCCTGTGAATCCCATTGCAATTTAATGGCTGAAATCAGAAGGCAGATCTGTGTTCATTGGACCAGTGCCGATACCCTCTTAGCTAATGAGCGCAATAAACATTTTCATGCCAGGAAGCCAGTGCAAGTAGAAATATTATGCCATACAGAAACGTATACCCAAACACAAAGAAATGGTCAGTAAAGCTCATCTTTTATGTGTATTTGCATATTCTAACATTCAAAGCCAATCATCTTTTAAGAAAAGAATAAAAAATGCTGCTAGGTGTTCTAAAAACGATGGCATAGCACGAGGCTTATTGTGAATGAGAAACCTGAAGAGTTATGAATTCTGGAGTTAATGACTATTGCTGCCTGTTCTATTATTTTCCTTCGTGAATCTTATTATTTGTAAATGTATGCTTCCCTTTATGTGACTCTAATATACTTCCTGCCTTTTCCCCGACTATATACTGTACCTCCAGCTGAGTCACATCCAGGGCAAAGCAATGCCGGTTTTGTTGGTAACGGCGAGGAGGTTTTCTTATGACTTTGCCTTCACAGCCAGTTGGTTCATAGCTCCTTAAAAATTAATGACCCCAGTGTCATACTGCTGTCACTGACCATGCAACCTGCAAGGATACTTAGCTCATACTTTTGGGTTTTGAACAAAATGGTGATAGCAGCTGACCATTAATGACCATTAGCCTTTGAACACACGCTGCCTCTTTGAGTGAGTTCTGGTAATGCTTCCAATGGAAAATGCAGATTTCAGTTTAGAATGAGACGAGAACTGAATTTGAGCTCCTCAGGTTAAGAAAGAGCCATTTTCAGAGGTTTAAGCATGATTAACACATTATATGAATTCCTAACTCTTACTGTTCTGCTTCTCCCTGGCATTAATTCCTTTTATGAAACTTATTTTAACACCTTGAAGTTTAGCTGTGTAAATATGCTGCTTGTATCAGAAAGCTGCAAGGAATTATCCTTGAAACATATCCCATTTATTTGAATAAGGTTTGGTCAAAGTTATCAAACTACATGCATATCTGCAGATAAGGTAATCTATGGAATTTTTTCTGTCCTTTTCTTCAAAATTTTTCTCCATAGTCCTAAAATAGTTCTCAACTTTATTTTGGTTAAAGTGTTTTCTGAGATGAGAAGAGGGCTTAATGATTTTCCTTATCAGGAAGAATATATACTTTCCCTATGGAATGATGCCAAGTGTTCTTTGTAGGAAAAATCTTAAACTATTTTGCTAACAGAAGCTGCTTGTCCGGGAAGCTAAAAAGGTCAGATAGAAAATAATTTTAGCTGCTTCTTACCAGCTAAAACAATGTCACTTTTATCATTATGAGGGAATTTTAGTAAGGTTAAAAAGAGAGAGAGAGACAAAGGAAGTGAGAACTCAGACCTGCGTAATCACACCTGTTTACTTGACTTATAAAAGGGCAGGATGTGCCTCCATCAGTTTAATAAAAGATGTTCTATCAATTTAGACAATTATACCAAAGATTAAGAATGTCATGAAGCTGATGAAATCTCCTAGGTAACATTAAAAAATAATATGCTTTTAGATCACATCATATATTAAATGACAACTGCCAATTTTTTTAGGAGTACTCAAAATTCGTTCTTGAATGACAATTTGAAGTTAAAATACTTTGTTCTTAATAGTTAACTTCATTGACATGAAGCTGCTGTTTCTTGACTGAAGAAACTTGGCTAATAAGAGCTTTTTGTTTAGTCAAGTCAAAGTGGACTGCAAGATATAGTATTTCACGGCCTCCTGGCATTTTTGCTTAATTAAGGTAAGCATAAGAAATGTTTTGCTAGTGCATTCCTTGGCTTAAAATATTTAAATATGACTCCCATTTAAATATTTAATCTCTACCTGAACAATGTTTTTTTCTATCATGAACCTAGGAAACATCATTACCAGCTTTAACTAAAGGAGTGATGGTACTCACTGCAGAAAAGATCAGAAGATGGACTGACAGTGACCTTGGTCCCAGATCCAGCTCTGTGCAGGACTAATTGTAGGAGCAGACATGGATGGGTAGATGCAGTTCTCCTTCATGGCCTATTTGCTCAATGTGCATAATATTGTCTTTCCCACCTTGAAACTGTTATACAGATACCCGACAGCCATTTGTGTAGTCTAACCTTCCCTCACATGGAGCTGGAGAAACCTATAAACATTGAACCGCCTTTAAACAACGTATTTGCTGTAGCATTCAGACCTGGGGGAATGATGCGAGAGTCCTTCTAGCTATTACCACCTGCAGCCCCACCTTCACAAAGGTCCCTCCTTCTTGTTTGATCTGCAAAGTAGAAGGAGAACAGACACCCAGGTGGGCTACAGACCTGGAACCCAGGCATTAGTGGTGATATCTAGGGGTCCAGAATATAAGTAGAGGTACCACAAGCCTACTGAGACTCTCATCTCCAGGGGCATCTGCCATCACCACCCAGCTCAGACTTTCTTTATGCTTCTGCTATGGCTTGAATATGTCCGCGAAATTCACATGTTGGAAACTGAATCCCCAGATGCATATGTTGGTGGTATTTGGAGGTGAAGCCTTTGAGGGGTGGTTAGGATGAGATGAGGTTATGAGAATGGCATCACTGTGATGGAATTTGTGGCTTTCTAAGAATAATGAGAGAGGCTCCAGCGGGTGCACTTGCTCTGTCTCGCCATGGGATGTCCTCTGCTGTGGTATTGTGCAGCAAGAAGGCTCTCCCTGGGGCTGTGGTGTTGGACTACACAAACTTCAGAACTGTGGGCCACATACACTTCCATTTTTTTGTAAACTACATGATCACCAGTATTTTTAGTTATAGGAAAAGAAAATAGACTAACACAATTTCCACTGTCAAAATCTGCCTTCTCCTCCTCATCTACCTTCACCCTCACCTTCTGGCTCCTGGCCCAGTTTCATAAGTTGATTCACTGTACTGTCAGACAAAGCACCAAGTGCTTGTGGATTAAATGTGACATCACATGAAAAGCCCATTGTCAATGTCTACTTTTTACTTCCAGTCCCCTGACAGGATCCCTTTGCCTTTGTAGATGTCAAATTGCCATCATTATTCTCATCAGTATCTGCAGCAACAATACTCATTTATCAAGCTTTTACCTGGTTGTGTCCAAAGCACTATCTCATTTAATCTTTACAGTCATTCTATGAGGAAACCAACTGTGGAAAGCTTCAACTTTCCAGAGGTTACATAGATAGGAAGTCACTGAGTTAAGTTGTAATTCCCAGAGACATCAACTATGAAGATGTAAATATGAGGTTTGGTTGCATCTTTTGGGTATAGATGCTAAGGTCTAAGGACACTTAGGCAGTTCTGCTACTTGTGGAAATGGAGGGTGGGTTTTTCTTTTCTAAGGGATTTTATTCTGAAGTTCCTGGCAAACCCATCAACTCTACTGCTCAGAGGTGTGGGAGGGAAAGTGCTAACCTGTGAGCTGCACTTCTGATCCTTTAGTGCCCACTGCAGAGGGTTGATAGCAAGTTCAGCACTCCTGTGCCATTCTCAGCCTGTGACCTGCCTGTGTCTGACGTCATGTAGTATTCATGTGCTGGGTTTCCTCCGTGTCCTGGCTTCTGGTGTGGATTCCAAAGTATCTCCATTGGACAAATTTTGGGCATCTTTTTTTTTAGCAAAATCACTTTCTTAGATGCCCTCAATGGAAAGGGAATGTGGAAGAGAGATGATCACTCCTTTTTCAGTTGAGGTAGGATATTCTTTACATATGCCTATCCCCTCCTATTCTCTCCTCAAAGGGAGACACAGATAATACTGGCACATCACAATGTAAGGGCTGAGTTCTTAAGAAGAAAGACTTAGGCATGAAGATGTATCTGACTTTGCAAAAATGTCCAGTGTGACTTGAAAATCACTGCTGGGCTACAATATGATGGAGCTTCCTCACCTCCACTTCCAGCCTCAGTCTGTGTGTAGAAGTAGGCACTGTACAATGGTCAAGTCAGGAAGACCACCAGAGCAGGGAAACTCTCCATGGGTCAGTGAGAGAAACAGTTCTGATTCCAGAAGAATCTTCTCTGATTACTCAATGTATTGTATCTGCAGGGAAGGAAAAGTCAAATTGCAGAAGAATTGGGAAAAGGAGGTAGGTAAACAGTGGAAAGCAATTTTCTGAATGTATCAGTTGTCAGACTATGGATGATAACAGGAGAAATGAAAGCAACATGTTTCAAAGGTGGCACAATGGCAATCTAACACCAGAGATGGGAAAACACGACTAATAGGAAGGAGCAAAGGAGAGCTGAGTGTCGCAAAATCATTTTTGTGGGGATAAGTCAATAACATTGAGGGAACGGAGAAAACACACAAACCATAGAACCTTGATCTTTGGGTAATAAATAAGGCAATTTGCATGCACCAGTGGCTCAAAATGGAATTGTATGGGAAGAAAAACCAAACAATAATTCAAAATGAAAAATCACGCCAACCTCCAAAAAACAAAACAAAAAGCCCACAACTCTTCTTATCAAATAACAAAGTGCATCAACCAATTCTTGTCAATGTTGTAAAATATTTTTGGCAGATGTTTCAAGTTAATATTCAAAAAGATTCATATACAAATAATAAAGATGTTTTTCTAAAAATCAAGGCCACAAACTTTAATTACTTAGTACATTTTGGCACCGTTAATATCACTGTTATTGGTCCCATAATGAAAAAATCAAAATGATAAATAGATCAAAGAGAGAAAAGCATTCATATGGTAGATTCTGATATTCATATGTTAGTTTAAAAAAATCACATATTGCTATTTAGGATTGGCTAAATATAACAAAGTTACAGATAAAGCTGTGCTCTAGCCTCTGGCTTGACACACTTGGGACAGTTTTATTATTATAAATCATGACTTCCCTAAGCCAAAATACAATGTTAATCTATGCTTCTATTTATTTCTGCTTTAGCATGAAGTAATTGCAACATTCAGTGTGTGCTGATGAGTCCAATAGGCACCAAGATAAATAAAGAGAGGGAAAACACATCAGATTCAATGCACTCCAAGCCCAGCCCATAACAGACAATTCCTGTTGACATCTTAATTAAGACATGCTTTCAATTGGTCACTCTTTCTGAAGATGGTAATTGCTTGTGCTTACCAATGATCTACGATTCTTATTCTGTTTTCCTTGTGATTCCAAGAATTGTCTAAAACCTTAATTTTCTAGGATGGTGGTTTGGATTTTCTGGAAACCGAAATGCAAATAATTAGGATCAAATTTGGTGTCTATCCATTTCTACTGATATGCTTCTGAACTACATTGTGATGGAGTGTTGCATCTTCACCCAAATCAGTGAGATTCAGCCAAATGGATTCTAAGAGGAATCGAGAGAGGCAGAAGAGAGAGAGAGACTTGATATGGTTGTCAATGTGCTCTGTTCACCCTTCCACGGGATGGCGTTGACATAGGGTGAGAGGGGTAGAGATTCCTGAGACTCAGTTCTTCAACTGATCACCATTTCTGTGGCTCCACTCATGGGCATCTCTCCTTTGAGTGTCATTCTGGTGAATCTAGGTCCAGGAAATGCATTCATACAGTGTGGCACCTACATATAAAATGGCTACAACCTCAGAAGCTGTAATCTATTCCAATTTGGGAAGAAAAATAGTCTGTGTGCAATACTGAGAGGTAGTGCCATGCTTCATTTGACAGTGGAGATGGAGGAATTACTTTCAAGGATGATTTGAGTAATCTTATTTTTGTTTTTTAATCTGAGCTGAAATTCTCTAAGATATGACTTTATCTTATCTACATGTTTAGCAAGACACATCAAGTGCAGTCATCCCTCACTATCTACAACATAACGGTTCCAGGCCCTGTGGATCCCAAACTCCATGGATGCTCAAGGCTCTTATAGAAAATTGATAACATCTGCATATAACCTCTGTATATCCTTCTGTGAGCTTTACATCATGCCTGAGTGACTGATAATATTTAATACAATGTTAATGCTATGAAATAGTTGCATACTGCATCATTTAGAAAATAATGACAAGTAAAAAAGTGTGTACATATTCCACATATGTGCATTTTTCTACTATTTTCCATTCAAGTTTGGTTGAAGCCACAAATGCAGAATTCACAGATACAGACTGACTATATGCCACATTCGAGTGTTATCTTGACTTGGGGGTCATATTATTGCCTACCTTACACATTTAAATGTTTAACCTATTAATGCATTCATTTCATCTTTTTTTGTCATTCTGTTATTCCAAAACATAAAATTCAGAAAGAATTGTGCATAAATTCTAGGTAGTATTTAGGGGGAAAGTGGTGCAGTGAAAAAGGTCCTAATTATAGCATTTATATCACAAATTTGCTGCATTTTTCTTTGATATATTAACACACATTTGAAGGATGGCTTCTCCCTGCCCTTATTTTGATCTTTTTGTGTTCCATTTTCACTAAGTCTGTGTCATTCAGCATCATAGGCATAAGCTGTTGTGATAATTTAAATTTTAATTCTTTAAAATTGACTATTAAAATTTTAAGTTCTTTAGTAGCATTAGCTGCATCTCAAGTGCTCAAGAGCTGCAAGTGGCTAGTGGCTATCATGTAAGAGAGCATAGATATAAAAGATTTACAGAAATAAGGAAAGTTCTATGAAACTGAGCTGTGTTAGACTCTTAATTTGAAAAATGGAGATGACATTTCACATATTAATTAAATTATCGTTTTTTTCCCCTTCAGGGTGAAAATACACTTTTTGTTATTAAGGACTACTAAGACATTGTTGGATATCTGAAAATATAGACAGAAATGGAAGACAAAATTACTGATTTTTCAATAGCACTAACTTCACAGGGTTTCTATTTGCTTTTACTTTCAATTTTGTTAATCTCCTGATTTACTGGTATTTGACATATTTAAGAAATTAGAGAATTTGAAGTTGTGGATAATTTGGAATTTTACAGAAATAGCTATGGTTTATGAGTATAAAGCTTTTAAAATACATGCTACAGATATTGTGCCTTGTGCCATAGCATGCTAAGCCTCCATCCCACAGCAGAATGCCTTCAATGGAGGCATGCCTCTGTGTCTAACCCAGCTTCCTGCTAATGAGCCTAGGAGACAGCAGATGACAGTTTGAGTCAGTGCCACCCACATGGGAAAACCTGATGTGGTCCCTGTTTCCTGGCTTCAACGTGGCTGTTGTAGGCATTTGAGGAACGAACCAGCAGATGAAATAATTCTTTCTCTGTCTCTCCCTCTTTTCTGTAGCTGTGCCTTTCAAATAAATAAGTAAAACTCAAAAAAAAATACATAGTACCGTTTCTGGCTTTGGGGAATGGTGCAGTAGACTGGTAGTATTAACTCTCTGTGGAGCAATGGCAAAATCTGGACAAAATTTAAGCACATACCATAACCCAAATAAATTGAAGTTGCTTTTTTATTTAAGGTATACAAATTTCATGCACTTCATATGTACAAATTTAGAAACATAGTAATTCTTCCCACCCTTGCATCACTGCCACCCCCACTCCCACCCTCTTCCTCCTCCTTCTTCTATTCCTACTCATGTTTTATACAAAGATCTATTTAAAATTAACTTTATAATAGTAAGACGAAATCTACAGTGAGTAAAGAGTTCAACAAATATGATCTAGAGATTCTTGACTGAATGTTGTTGATTTCCAGCTTCATTCTGTTGTGGTCAAAAAAGATGCATGGTATGATTTCCATTCTTTTGAATTTTCTGAGACTTGCTTTATGGCCTACATATGGTCTATCTTAGAGAAAGTTCCATACACTGATGATAAGAATGTGTATTCTGCAACTGTGGTGTGAAAAGTTCTGTAGGTATCAGTTAGGTTCATTTGGTCCGTAGTGTCAACTAGCTCTGTTGTTTCTTTGTTGACTTTCTGTATAGTTGATCTGTCCACTGATGAAAGTGGGGTGTTGAAGTTCCAATACTATGTGTTGGAGTCTATGTCTCCCTTTTGATCCATTAACATTTCTTTTAAATAGCCAGGCACTCTGTAATTGGGTGCATACACATTTATTTTAGTCACATCTCCCTGTGGAATTGATCTCCTTAATACATAGTGCCCTTCTTTATCTCTTTTAACAGTTTTTATGTTAAAGTATATTTTGTCTGATATTATGATGGCAACACCTCCCTTTTTTTGCTTTATGATAGCATGGAACATCTTTTTCCATCTGTTCATTTTGGGTCTGCATGTATCTTTGTTGGTGAGATGTGTTTCTTGTAGGTAGTAAATAGATGGGTCTTGTTTTTTTAATCAATTCAGCCAGTCTGAATCTTTTAACTGGAGAGTTGAGGATATTTACATTCAAGTTAACTATTGAAAATTAAGGACTCGGCCCTGCCATTTTCCCATAAATATTCCTATTATTTACTTTGGATTTCCTTTGTACTTTTGCTGGATAACATGTTCCTGAATGAACAGTGGGTTATAGAAGAAATCAAAAGAAAAATCAAAAAATTTCTGGAAACAAAGGAAGATAACAGTACAACATATGAAAATTTATGGGATGCAGCAAAAGCAGTGTTAAGACAAAAGTTTATAGCAATGGTTGCCTATGTGAAGAAATTGGAAAGATACCATATAATTGAGCTATCACTGCATCTCAAGGACCTGGAAAAATGACCACAAAACAAACTCCAAATTAATAGGAGGAAACAAATAGTTACAATTAGAGAATAAACAAAATTGAAACAAACAAAATGGATCAGTGAAATGAAAAGCTGGTTTTATGAAAAAATAAACAAAACTGATACACCATTGGAAATTGGCCCAACTAACCAAAAAAAAAAAAAAAAAAGAGAGAGAGAGAGAGAGAGAGAAGACACAAATCAATAAAATCAGAGATGAAAAGGAAATGTGACAACAATGACCACAGAAATAAAAGGAATCATCAGGAATTACTACGAAGAGCTGTATGGCAACAAATTGGGAAATCTAGAAGAAATGGATACATTCCTTGACACATAGAATGTACTAAAATTGAGTCAAGAATATGTAGAAAACCTAAACAGACCAAATAACCAGGTTGGAAATTGAGTCAGTAATAAAGACCCTCCCAACAAAGAAAAGCTTAGGACCGGACAGCTTTACTGCTGAATTCTACCAGGCATTAAAATAATTATTTCCAATTCTTCTCAAGCTAGTCAAAACAACTGAAAGGAAGGGAATACTCCTAAACTCCTTCTATAAAGGTTGCATCACCTTAATTACTAAGCCAGAAAAAGAATCAACAGAGAAAGAGAACTAAAGACCAATATCTCTGATGAACATAGGAGCAAAAATCCTAACAAAATATTTGCTAATTAAATCCACCAACACATCAGAAAGATCATTCACCCGACCAAGTGAGATTTATCCCTGGTATGCAGGGATGATTCAACATTTGCAAATCAATAATTGTGATACAACACATCAACAAACTGAAGAACAAATACCAGTTATCTCAATAGATGCAGAGAAAGTGTTTGATAAAATATTACATCCTTTTAATGATGAAAACTTTAAGTAAATAGGGTGTAGAAAGAATATTCCTCAACACAATCAAGGCAGTCTATGACAA